ATGCCGCCCCACCTTACCCACTCCCAGTCCTTCCCTACCTCTCACCCATCTTCCCATCCCTCCTCCTATCCTTCACCTCACTCTCATTCCCGAGGGCGGCTCTCTCCTCATGTTCAACACACCTCTTCTCCTGCCTCTTCCGTTTCTCAGCACCAAAACTATCAGCAGCAGCAGCAGCAGCAGCAGCAGCAGCAGCAGCCGCAGCAGCCGCAGCAGCAGCAGCAGCAGCAGCAGCAGCAGCAGCAGCAGCAGCAGCAGCAGCAACAGCAATACCTGCAGCAGCAATACCAACAGCAGCAACAGCAGCAGCAGCAGCAGCAGCAACAGCAGCAGCAATACCAGCAGCAGCAGCAACAGCAGCAGCAGCAACAGCAATACCAGCAGCAACAGCAGCAGCAACAGCAGCAGCAGCAGCCGCAGCAGCACCATCACCAGCAGCAGCAGCCGCAGCAGCACCATCACCAGCAGCAGCAGCCGCAGCAGCACCATCACCAGCAGTATTACCAGCAGCAGCAGCAGCAGCAGCCGTTAGCCTCTCACCCTTCCTCCTGTCAAGCTCCTGCCAGTCCCGTCAGCAGCGCCTCTACTGCTTTCCGTCCTGCACCCACTCCCACCCTCCGCCCTGCCCCTGCCCCTGATTACGCCTCGCCTCCTGCCGCTGGCGCTGGTGCTGCCAGTGCTGCTGGTTCTCGTGCTTCTCCTGCTCCAGCTGTCGCTGCTGTCTTGGCTCTTTCTGGTTACCAGCAGCAGCAGCCACAGCAGCAGCCGCAGCAACAGCAGCAGCAGCAGCAGTATGAGCAGCAATACCAGCAATCGCAACAGCAGCAGGAGCACAATCAATACCACCAGCAGCAGCAGCTGCAGCAGCCCTTCAGCCATTTCCCTCAGTCTGCTGCTCCTGCCACCGAACCTGCCTCCGGCCAAATCTACCAGACTCCATACCAAGCCTCCACTGCAGGCCAGGTACCTGCCACGCCTTCCCGCTCCGGTTTGGCTGCGCCCTCTTCTGCCGAACCTGCAGGTTCGATGGGTGCCCCTCCCATACCTGCTGCTACAGGTATGGGCTCAGGAAGAGGAAATTATTGGGGTGATTCTCCCGCCAACACTTACGTAAGTGCTGCTCCCAGTGCATCTGCACTTAGCGGGGGTCCTTCCATCCGCTTGCTGTCTATCCCCACCGCATCTCCTGCCACGTCATCCATGTCTGCCGGGCCTGCCACGTCAGCTGGCCGCGCTGTGTCAGCAGCACCTGCCACGTCAGCGGGCGGCGCTCGGTCCCCGCAAAGGGGTGCTGTGTCGTCTGGCTCGGCTGGCATGCTGAGGCTGCCAGGTGGCATGCCACATCAGCAGCAGCAGCAGCAGCAGCAGCAGCAGCAGCAGTATTCAGAGGGGCATTCATGCATGCAGCAGCAGGTGCGGCACCAGCAGCAGCAGGGGCAGCAGCAGCAGCAGTTCAGCATGCCTGTTGGCATTGCCAGGCCTTCAGTTTCAGCCAGCCGACCTCTGCAAACTCAGCAGCAGCCGCAGCTGCAGCAGCAACAGCAGTGTCAAATGCACCAACCGCAGCAGCCGTTTCAGCTGCAAACGCAGCAGCAGCAGCAGCAGGAGCAGTATCAGCAACAGTGGCAGCAGCAGCAGCAGCAACCAGTGCAGCAGCAGCAGCAGGTGGGGCAATTCACATCGGTGGCTGGCGATTCAAACGGATACCAGATGCTCCCAGTCTCCTCCTTCACTCTCCCTCCTTCCCAACCATCTGCTCCAGCCCCTTCTGGTCTGGACCAATCACCGACTGTTGGAGCGGCAAGAGAAGAAGGAAGGGAAGATGGAGGGACAAGCCCTGGCGTGCAGCAGCAGCAGCAGCAGCAGTTTCAACTGCAGCAACAGCAGCAGCAGCAGCCAGAGGTGGTGTATTCAAGCTACATCCCCACCAGCAGCTACGTTAGCAGCTACAATCGAAGCTCTGGTCTTTCCAATACCAACACTCTCACCCCTCCTGGTCCGGTAGGGAGCCTGGGCCTTGGCGTGGGGTCCGGTAGTGCTGGTTACAGGGATAGCCACAATGAGAGTAACAGTGGCGGGAACACAACAGCTTCGGTTCACGACTCCTATGCTGCTGGTGCTGCTGCTGCTTCTGGTGCTGCTGGCGCTGCTGGTGGAGGTGTTGTTGGGGCAGGAGATGGGGGTTTCGGGGTTGGAGTAGCAGCAGAGGCTATGGAGAGGGGAGCAGGGGAAGACAGGAGTTACTCTTTCCCTAGTGGCAGTGTGGTGGCGCCTGCCGACCCTGCTGCTCTGTTTGGTGCTCCGCAGCAGGAACAGCAGCAGCAGCAGCAGCAGCAACTGCAGTGGCAGCAACCGCAGCAGTAGCAGCAGCAGCAGCAGTCAATGCTCCCAGTGCCTTACAACGTTACAGCAGGGGCATGTGAAGGGGAGGCCACTGCAGCAGCAGGATCCGCAGCAGGAGGAGCAGCAGCAGCAGCATGCACACCCAAATCCCGGACACTCAACGTTGATCTCACAGATCTCCTCGAGATGGACGGTGGGGATGAGTTGGGGGAGCAAGGCGAGGCTGCGAGAGCCGTGGATGGAATAGACGACGAGATCCTAGGTGGACCGTTCAAAAAGCCACGACTCTGGGACGAGAGGGAGGAGATGGTGGGGGGGATAGCGGGCGTTTCAGCCTCTTCCCCCTTCTCCTGCTTTGGCCGCCAGTCCCCTCTGTTTCTCACAGAGGAGAGAGCAGAGAGCGGAGGGGAGGGGGGCGATGGGACGGAGATGGTGGGGGAACCGGGGAACCGGGGGGGAGGGATCATGGGTTTCGATATGAAGGGGGCTTCGTGGGACTTTCTGGACGGGTGTTTGGATTTCATTTGAGGGAGAATGCAAGGGGCAGCAGCAGCAGGAGGGTAGGAAAGCTGTGGAGGAGGCGGGGGGTGGGCCTGCTAAGTGCAAGGCCTTACCTTGTTTGTATCCTAGCGACAATCTATTCGACACTCAATTGTGTCTACTATGGGGTGTTTTAGTGTGTGTGAGTTGGGGGTGGGGGAATATGTGGTGGGGCGGGGGGGGAACAGAGGGGGTGAAGAGGGGCGTAGGGCGGAAGACCAAGGAGGAAGGAGCAGCCATGTGGGAAAGAGAAGGAGCACTGCGGTGCTCCTAGTCTTGTGCTGCCAGTGCAACCAGCAACGGATTGCACTTCAAGTTATGATCGCGATTCACAACCAGGAAGACGAAGGAGGGGAATCAGAGAGGACGGGGGAGCGGGAGGAGGGGAGTTGCTATCAGCAGCTGCTTCCGAACGTGGAGCGGCCGGAAAAATAGATCAAACTACCGTATATCTTTGTGTGAAGACTTCTGAAGACGAGTGCTCAACACTCGGGCATCGACTAGGCAAAATCAGTTTCCTACTTTTTTTCCTTTTCATTTTCGTTTCTTTTCTTCTTTGAATTGTCAGGGAATAAGCTGCCCCTTGATAGTAGGGCCAGTTTCATCTATGCAGCGAGCTAAGGCTCCTGTTGTCGCTAAAATACTATTGCTAGTTGTGTTGTTTCTTATTTGTACTCTATTTCCGTCCATATGCTTCTGCTATCCAATGGGTTAAAATGTAAACCGTTCTGCAATCCTGGTTCTTGCGTCAACACAAACGAATCCGAGGAATGAGTGACTGTCAAACATTGTTGAATGAAAAGGCTTGGTTTTTTTTAAGCACGTTGTTCACACTAGTCATCTTTGCACTGGTCAATATGTATTGCATCAACAATCAGCAACAAGGTACACTACAGTACACAGTCTTCATAAGCCTAATGGGGTCAACAGCAGCGGCAGTGTCACACCCTTGGTGCTGATTCCTGATGCGCCAAGTTGTCTCTGTCTGCTACTACTAATTACTACCTTCCTTACAGAGGAGCCAAGGCCGCCATCGTGCTAATATTAGCACGGAAAGCCATTACACCTTGCATGCGAGGTTGATGACGATGCCACCTCTGGTGAAAAAAAAAAAGGCAGTGTATCAGCAATTTGGTGAAAGAGGTCAATCAGAAATAAATGTGTAGAAAACATATCCTAAGTAAGAAGAGGGAAGTATTTAGCTTGCAAGGCACACGGTTTGAGAATCATACCGTTTGGTGTGGGAGGTGAAAGCCTGGGTGCTGGAGTAGGCCCAGATCATGTTGTTGTTACCCGTGTAACTGACAGGACCCACACCGCCCTTGCCTGAACGAGTGAACCTGAAATGAGATGAAACGCACGGGGTCAGTACGGAACGCTAAACCAGAAGTGGAAACAACCTCGGAGGTGCATGAACGCGCGGCATGACGGAGTACGGCTTTTGCAAAGCGGATGGCGAAACTCACTTGACAATCTTGCCACCGTCAGCAGTGGTAACCACGGATTTCGCCGAGAGCTTCACTGCAGTTGACTTCTTGACCTTGTTCGCAGTCTTGCCACTCATCGTGTAGGCCAGCACGTTGTTCGGCGCGGCTGCAGCCAGATTCCCCACCACTGCGTCAGCGGGAGACATGAGGCCAGCTTTCACTGTCCAGCCAATGGACATCCAGCCGGTCTCGGCGCCGCTGCCGGGCTTCGCCTCGAGTGCAGCGATAATTCCGTCGTTCTTCTTAGTGATGTTCCAGTGCAGGAGAAACAGTCTGAGGGTAACGGGGTGGAAGGGCGACGTGAGAATATGCGAGTCCGTGAGAAAAGCGGGTGAGAAACTTTGAACGATGGCATTTTCATGCTAAAAAGTGACTCAAAATCGCCACTGCTTGTTTAACACGGAGAACATATGCTTCACCAAGAAAAAATCACGTAACCGTCAGCTGTGAGCTGGACAGATTTTGTGTATGGCGCCAGAGTCGACTTGGTGCAGGCGACTGGGGCGGGCTTAACGGCCGCGGTGCCAGCGTAGTGTCGCGCGAATGCGCTGCTAGCCATGGCGAGGATCAGAACCGCGAGCGACGTTGCGAGGAAGGAAAATCGGGCCATGATGGACGCGAGACGAGATGGATGCGAGAGGCGAAGATGTTGAAGGCGGGGGTGTGTGAGCTGGTGAGAACGTTGAATTGGATGAGAAATGCTAAAAGATATGGCGGCCTAAATACTGGATAGCGAATTGCGATGTTAGTGCTGGTGGGTGGAAGGGAGGGAATGGATAGTGCATGATGAGTGAGTGACTCCCAAAACACGATTTCACCGAATTCGCGATTCGTCGTCACCAGAGATTTCACCGAACCAGAATTCCCCAAGCGAGAGGAACCATTATTCGCACCTCTAAACCGATCAGTGTGTTTCCAATACCAGACAGAATGACGCAACCGTACGCGCTGTTGCTTGGCTTGGATGCTGACGTGAGGTTGATGCGGCCCGGCGGGGCTTGCGGAATTCCAATCACACATCCACTTTGCGCGTGAGCGGAATGTGCGCATTTCTTCGAGGTCACCGACTGGCTGCTCATGTGCAATTTGGTCGGTCGCGTTCCACGGGTTTCAACGTGGGGTGCAAACCATTTGACGTGGCACTCGTTTGTGTCCACGTGGCTACGTACCGCACGAATTGCACACGCCAATTTCAACAAACTCGTGGTCGGTGGTTGAAATGGGATCAACACCACATGCCACCATCACCAGCAACAACCACCACCGACAAGCTGCTTGGAGGTGTTTCCTCTTTATTATATACTGGGGCGTTGGATAAATCGTGTCATCCTCAACTCACGCTGATTGTAGTGATTAGAATATGCCCTTCTATAAAACGTCATGGCTGGTAACAAAGCTGAATCTGTACCGCAAGCATAACATTGGAGCGTGCAAGCAGACACTTGGCCTTTTACTATACCTTCGCTTTAACCCTCTCATTACAAGTCAGGGCTAGAAACCAACCACTTACATGCCTTGCCATTCCTTACACGCACCCTTGGTTGCAAACACTTAGACTCTCACTATACCCTAACTCCGGCCCTCTCGTTCAGCATCAGGGCCCGCTCGGAGCGCGTGGCGGAAAGAAAATGACACGTCGCGCACCACGGGGCGCGCGACAGTCAGAACGACAGCGGAAGCAGTTGGTGGGCCCGTTGAGGAAGGCGGCAGGAACATACTCGCTCTAGATACCATGTCAGAAATACTAGGAGGAATAGGGCCTAGGCTTAGTAGCCTAGGCCACAGTGAGACTAGAAGGTTGTACAAACAGAAACAGAAACAGAATGGATGATTGCACTAGCAGGCAAGTTGGTTCAAATAGGAAACCCTAAAGGGCTGTACTCACTATTGAGTACCCCACTGCAGGCTAGACAAATAACATATTCTGACAGAATGGAGATGTGAGGTGAGTCGACACTTTTTTGGGTGATGTGACGTGAGTAGACATCATGCCACACCAGTCTCTTGGGTGGTGAAAGTGTGTAAAGTATAGAGTTATAGAAGTGTTGTTGTGATCATATTTCTTCTGGGAAGTGGTGTGGCATCTGGGTGGTAAAGTGTGTAGAAGAGTTGTTGGGAACACTCTCCCCCCTCTGTTGAGCTCGCGCCACCCTAGAGCAGGGCTCTTGCTAGGGTCAGACAGAGCTACAACATTTAGAAACTCATTCAGACCATGCAAAATGGAGGTCTGATAATTAGACCATCAAACCGATTTGGTCTGATCACCAAAGCCCTGCCCTAGAGGTTGAAATTGTAACTGAGCGTGTGGTGGTGAGTCAACCTGTGCCTGAATGGCGTGGATTGATCTCCACACAAGGGCTGTCGATTCAAGGCCAATTCCCCTTAATGCCCTGAACATTAAGGACATCGCTCCAGGGTCCGAATATAAAGGGTCGCTTTTCAGTACAGCCCTGAATTCTAAAGGGCGTCGTCAGGGCCTTCCCCTGATTCTTCCTGGGCGCATTTAGGGGCTTGCCTTGATTCGCCGTACAAGTTTGGGGACTTTCCTGGGGCTCCCCCCACTCTCCACCCCCCTTCCTTTTAACTCTCCCATGTCCCCCACCCCTTGTTTGAGCCGCAAGCTTGCCACTTCACCTTTGATGGAAGGTAGTTAGGCAATTTGAGACAATTACGGCTTTTAGTGTGGTAAAGTAGTGTACATTTGTGAATGTCTCGGAAACTCCTGCTCTGAACGGTAAAGTGTTGCCCTGATTTCAAGTGTTAAGTTGGGGCCTTTCCCGGACGCTTAACTTAACAGGGGACCTCAGCCACTCAAGTGTTGGCCTAAAACCAATCGACAGCCCTGCTCCACACGCAGTACGGATGGTGTTTCAGCCAAAATTAATAGCGCTCAGTGAGCTCAAAACAGAATACGTACATTTAATTTGAAGTGTTTTTGTATGTCCTTATTTACCAGTACCGAAACACCCATACGGTAGATGCAATGCAAGCTTACAAGTTAGTTACTACAACCACTCCCTTCCCATACTTGAACCTCCCCTCCCCTCCCCCCCCTTCCCCCCCCCTCCCCTTCCTCCATAATTGAACATCTGCCTTCATGTGCCTGCTGGGTCCTTGTACAACACCCAAATGTTTGTTTCCGGGGTTAGATTTAGGGATGCGGTCTTAGAATTGAGAAGTTCTTGTGCATTGCAGCATCAGACCACCCGAGTGAACTTGGTACAGAACTATAGCGAATGCGAATGCATCACACATTGCAGTGCTCCACTGTGCGTGAGGCTGGGTAGTACGCAGTGAAGGTGCCATCGAGGGAGAAGGAGCCGGGGTTGATGCACGTGACACCATTCACCACAGCGCTGCTCTGCCCTGATGAGTCTGCCAGAAACAGCTGGCAGGATGGAACGGGAGACAAGGGAGTGTGTCCCACATGGGAGTGTGATTGAGGGGGCAGAGGGGGGCGTCTGACGAAGGCGCCAAAGCTGGATGGATGGCGACAACAAGTGGGAGATCCTGAATCAGACCAAATGACCAGTACAAGGATGATCAAGGATGAATGGTAAAGCATGGTATGCTTGTGGGTTGATGAGTGATGTGGAGAATAGCAGCACAGTAACACAAGACAGAACAAGACTGCCAGTGGCTAATCAAATATGACATCGATTCAAACAGGACGGAATGAAGCAACTGATCATGTGAGGCGCCAGCATACCACGTGGGGAGCGGGGAAGAGGTGCAGAGTGAAGTCATAGTCCCAGAACACAGGCTGGGCGGCCAGGGGCAGCGGGCTCAGATGCGCCTGGTGCACCACCGTGGTCGCCACCTGCCGCCCGGGGCGCACAGCGGCACACAGGCAGGGATGCGCATGCAGTGCACAGGGCGAGGGCAGGGAAGAGGAGAAGGCAGGGAAGGGCAGCTGTGGCTGGCTCGAGCGAATATAAGAGGGAGGGCGCCTACTTGAAGCGCAATACGCGTGGGTGAATGCCCTAGACTCGTGAGCTTCCAACGAGAGGAGCGCTAGGCCATGGCGAGAGGAGTGGGCGTGAGAGGGCGCGTGTGACTGACATGGGTGAAGGGGTCGGTGTGTTTGAGTGGCGGCAGCACGGCGCAGCGCTGCATGCGGCGCTGCAGGTCCGCCCTGAGCACCACCAGCTCCTGCGCATAGAACTTGAGGCTGCCGTGAGGGTGTCAAGATGGCGGCGGGGGAGCGGGAGGGAGAGAGGGAGGAGTAAGGGAGGGAGGGAGGGAGGGAGGGAGGGAGGGAGGGAGGGAGGGAGGGAGGGAGGGAGGGAGGGAGGGAGGGAGGGAGGGAGGGAGGGAGGGAGGGAGGGAGGGAGGGAGGGAGGGAGGGAGGGAAGGGAGGAAGGATGGAATTGAACGACAAGCACCAGAAGAAATCAAATTGGCTAGAAACAACTTTAAAGGAGGGACAGACAGGCAGAGAGGGGAAGGGAGAGGAAGAAAAGGTTTTGAGCTCAGAGGATGGCACGTATGCATGTGTCGTGTGCGTGCATGTGTACTATATGCATGTCTCGTGTGCGTGCATGTGTACTATATGCACGTGTCGTGTGCGTGCATGTGTACTATATGCATGTGTCGTGTGCGTGCATGTGTACTATATGCACGTGTCGTGTGCGTGCATGTGTACTATATGCACGTGTCGTGTGCGTGCATGTGTACTATATGCACGTGTCGTGTGCGTGCATGTGTACTATATGCACGTGTCGTGTGCGTGCATGTGTACTATATGCATGTGTCGTGTGCGTGCATGTGTACTATATGCATGTGTGAAAATGAACCAGAGGGTGTGAAAGAACGTAGGGAAGGGAGGAGAAAGGAGGTGCGAAGAGCGAACAAACGGGGAAGGGGGATAGAGGGGAAGAAAGGGGCGCACCGGGAAGGGTTGGAGGAGAAGACAGCAGAGGGGAGGGCGTCAGTGATGGGTTCTGTGAAGAAGCGCGGCAAAGCGGGTCGTGGCAGCACCGCGCATGGGCCTGGGGGCAGGCACACGGGGGTAGGGGCACGGGCAAGTGGAGCAGTGTGGGGAAGAGAGCAGAACGATGGTGATATGGTGCACTGTGCTGTGTTTTCAAAAATTCAGAGGCTGCTCTGGGGTGGCTTCTCGGGGTGTTTTCCTCAAGATCATCACCTCTGGTGCTCTTGCAGTAAGCCTTTGTGCCTCTAAAGAGCAACTTCTCATGTGACTTGACAGGCCCTTTGGGCAGAAGAAGAGAGGCGTGGGCAGAAGAAGAGAGGCGAGGGCAGGAGATGGCAAGGGAAGCGGGAGAGGGCAGGAGGTAACCTGGGTCGGCCTGGCCGGGGACAAAGACGAAGAGCGACTTGTCCTTGAGGCGGCGGTGGGCGCCTATCACCCTCGCCAGCTGTGAAAAGGCCTCCCTGGGCGGGGAAGCAGGAGCAGGTGAAATGAGGGAAGGACGGGTGCAGGAATGGTTGGTGTGGGGGCATAAAGGGAAGTGGGGGTAAGAAGGGACGTGAGTTGTGAGGGGAGAAGGAAGAGAAAGGAGTGCAGAGCGATGCGGAATGCACAGAAGAATAATCGCCCGTGTGCAAAGAGCTACTTATGCAAGAGAAGAAAGTAAAGGAAGCAGAGGCAGCAGGCACCTGTGAGCGTGCAGGTGCGGGGAAGCGAGGGCGGAGGGCGGGGAGCAGAAGTCCCCAATGAGCAGAAAGAGTCGCGGTGGCTCATCCAGGGCGTCGTATGCCCCCAGCACCGTGGCCAGGCGCTGCAGGGTCTGCCGGGCACACATGCACAGGTGGTGCAGGGAGACAACGAGGGGGGCATCCGGGGTGAATGGGAGGGAGGTGAAGAGGCGCGGCGGGTGGTCCAGGGCGTCGTGCGCCCCCAGCAGCGTGGCCAGGCGCGGTAGGGTCTGCCGGGCACACGAGCACATGCAGAGGTGGTGCAGGGGAGAGCGCAAAGGGCACTTGTTAAGGGAGGGAGGTGAGAAATTAAGTACTGGGAAATCCCAGCTGTGAAAGCTTAAACTCCAGAAGTGCAACATCCTGTTACAAGTCACTGCATGTCAGAGAAGCGAGATGGAGGAGTGACCTCAGGATGATGCAGGGCGATGTGCGCCAGGACGATGGAGTGAGGAGTGAGGAGTGAGGAGTGACCTGGGGATCATGCAGAGCAATGTCCGCCATGATGATGAACATGTGCCCCTCCGCCACTGCCTCTGCCTCGCGCTGCTGCACCCACGCCTGCTCACCCGGGGGGCAAGGAGGGGGGGGGTGCGATGAACACAGGAGGGAGAGGGGAGCGTGACGGCGAGACAAGAGCACTGGAATAAGATGGAAGAGCGGGTGGAGAAAGCAATGTGTCGAGGTCAGAGGCTGCCGCAGTGCAGCAGGGAAGCAGAGGGAGGCACATGGGACTTGATGGCAGAGGAGCGAGCAGGAGTCAAGCTTGCATGCTCCCATTTTCCGGGCTTAAGGTTGCGCAAGCATCCATCCTCGCATGGACACACCCATGCCGACACGCGCACACCCAAGCATACTGGAAGACGGGGGCAGGGGGGCACGCACGTAGCGGTGGGCGTCGATGGGCCCGGCGCCAAACAGGTCCAGCCCCTCCGCCAGCGACAGCGCCTCCTCCCGTGGCTCCACCGGGGGGAACTCCAGCGATGCCACCTGGGGGGGGGCGAACACGGAGAGCAGCCTCGGATTTGGCGTCGTGCTCCCCTCCCCTCCCCTCCGCCAGCGACAGCGCCTCCTCCCGTGGCTCCACCGGGGGGAACTCCAGCGAGGACACCTGGGAGGGGCAGGCAACAAGTAGGGCGCAGGGGGGTTGAAGTTTGAGCGCTCTGATGGAATGAGGTTTATGATTTAGGGTTGGGATGTGTTCAGATCTCATGATATGGTTTGAAATGGAGTGGGATGTGGTGGAGTAGGATGTGGTGGAGTGGGATGTGGTGGAGTGGGGTGCCATTGAAGATGTTACATCATGCAAGGATGGAACGCGAAGAGGGGATGCGGTAGAGAGAAGGAAGGAATGGGATGGAGAGAAAGAAAAGGGTAGGGGAAATGGGGAAAGGGGCGGGAGAGGGAGAGAGTGCGCACATTGAAGCAGCCGGAGGGAGTGAGGTGGCCCGAGGCAATGACGACTGAGCTCTCGGTGAAGAAGCCCGGCGATGCCGTGCAGTGCCGTGCAGCACACGGGCGGTCACACGGAGGGGGGTGGTCGAGATGGGTTCACAGAGAGGCACCGAAATAGGCGAGGAAAGAGGAAAGACGATGGGAGAGATCGAGGGATAGGGAGGGAGAGAGGGGAGACAGGTGGAAGCCAGGTCAAGGAACCCAGATGATGGGGATCAAGTGCTTGGTGTGAGTGTGCGTGTGTAGAGAGGCTGAGAGTGAGGTAGTGCATACAGTAGTGAGTGTGGTGAGAATGGGAAAGGCGCGGAACGGAGGGCGGATATGGCATGGGAGGGCGGATATGGCATGGGAGAGGTCGAGGGGCAGCGAGGAGGAGAGGTCTTCAAGGAAGAAGCGGCCGTCCTCCAGCTGTGCCACCACGCCCACCACGTGATGCCGCCTCTGCTGTGATGCCGCCGTGCCACCCACCAGCGCCTGCACTGGCGTCAGCTGCATGCGGGTGGAGGAATGGCACACACAGAGGACGGGCGAGAAAAACAGGGGGTTCGCAAGGGAGCGAGAGGGCTAGAAGGAGGAAAAGGAGAGGTGGGGAGGGAAGAAGTGAACTTGGAAAGAGGTTGTTGGGTGCGCAACAGGGCACTGAAAACACAGTGTACAAAAACAAATCGACAGCAGAAATACTCCAGGCACTTGCTTCGTCCCTTTTCCCCCACAGCCCCGAGCGCCCCAGCCCCTCTTCCCCATTGCCCCCTTGCCCGTGCTGCATGGCATGGCACCTCGGTGTACTGCTCCTGCTGCTGCTGCGCGGAGCCCAGAGGCAGCAGCGGCACGGCGAAGCGGCGGTGGCGGGCCGTGCGCGCCAGCAGCAGGTGCAGGCGGCGCCGCAGCACGTCCGCCTTGCTGCTGGGCGCCCCCGCCAGTGACAGTGGCCCACGGTGCCTGCCACATGCAGTGCACGTGGGGTTGGGGGCACGGGGGAGGCAGGGGAGGTGGGGCATGTGGGGTGGGGAGAGTTTCAAAAGAGGAAAAAGGAACGGAGTTGTGGTGCAGTGCGGTGCGTGGTGGTGGAGGAAGGGTGTGAGGTTGCAAGTGAAGGAGCATGATAAGGCGCAGCCACAGTTTGGAGGTGTGGTGGCCATTGGCCCACCTGTGCTGTGCCCTGTGAGGCAGGAGCAAGGTGAGCGGGAGGGAGGGGTTGACAGGCGGGGAGGAGAAGAGACAGCGGGTGACAGGGAAGGGGAGAGAAGGCAAGGGCAGGAGCGGTGCCGGTGAGCGGAGGGTTTGGGGTGTGGGTCAGCTCAGAAGAGTTGGAAAAGGCAGAAGCGGAGGGGGGAGAAGGGGAAGGGGATGAGGAGGAGAGGAAGCAGGGCATTCCGATGACTAACGTTGCGCCCTTCACGTCCTCTCTCCTCCCACGGCCACACCCACTCAAACCGTTCCTTGCCCTCGCATCCTCAACCACGCCCATCTCAGTGACAGCAAGCACATATGCACGGTCAACCCAGAGGCGGAGGCGCAGGGAGGGTTGACCTGGAGAAGTGTTTGCGGAGGGGGTCGTAGTCCACACGAGGCATGGTGAAGGCGTCGATCACCACCAGCGCGCGCCACTCGCGCATCCACCCCTCCACACCCTCCCCCCGCCCCCGCCCCCCCTCCATCACCTCCCCCGCTCCCCCGTTCCGCCCCACGCCCCCCAGCGCATCTGGCCGCGCGCCCCCCCCTGCGCGCTCGCCGCGGCTGCTTCCGCCTGCAGTTCCCCCCGCATCAAGGGGGGGGGCGCGGGAGCGCGCGCGGAGGGGCTGCAGAAGGACCTGGCGCACCACGTCGCGCGACACCACCTGCACGCCCACTGCCGTTGTGGGCGAGGGGCGAGGGGCGAGGAAAGAGGGGCGAGAGGTGAGGCCTAGTGGTGGACAGGCGTCGGACCAGGGACTGACTGCTACGCCTCGTTTTCGCTTCCGACTCTCCTCGCTCCTGCCTGCCGCTCCACACGTTCCGCAGACCGTGCCATCCACAGGCACTCACGCGCCTACGATCATAACTACGCGCCACTCTCACAGACCAGACCCACACGCTCACTGAGAACCCCTTCTCTCCCGGCCCAGGATCCCATCCACCACCCTATCCGCGCTGATCCCCATTCCCGCTAAATTTCTAGCGCTTTAAGCGGGCGTACGTTCGAGCGCGGTGATGCCGCGGAGCAGGTCGTCGACCGCTTGCTGCTCGCTGCACCCCGCCTCCAGCACGTACTCCACCACGCTCTGTAAAGCCGCGCGATCCACCGTCACTCCGCGCAGCTGCAGCTGCTGCTGCAATCGCCGCATTGCACGCAGCTCCTGGCTCATCGTGGCCGTTGATCGGACTGGACGGCGACTGACGGCAAGGATGTTCGGGTTGTTCACAGCTGCTCTACCATCTACCAACCTAAGCGTCACCCTCGCGGTGGTAAGCCAATGCTAGGGGCGGCGGAAATGGAGTGCTACTCACTAGACGAAGTCATTTGCTCCTACGGCATGTTTAGACGTGGTCGCAGCGCGACTTGGAGAGAGCACAGATTCGCGGGCTGAAACGTGATTTTGAAGGGGCTGCTTTTGACGAGTCACTTTCGTGCCGGTGTTTGCAAATGTGCTGCCACAAGCTTCTGTGCACGCTTTTTACCTTTCTTTCCTAAAAGCGTTCTAATCATAAAGCCTGTATGTAGGTCTATCAAATATAAGCTGGAGGCTATTACCATAGGTCCACAGTCGCCAATATCGCCAATTATGGCTTACTTCATCGCGCTCAGCACGAACACTTGCTTCACTCAAGTCTTTCACCGTGTTTCATCCTAGATGTGGTCAACTCCGTAGATGTAGACTTTTGCCAACGAACCTAACATCATAATGCATGTGGTGTAGAAGGCTAAAAGCGAATAACGCATTGGTCATCCTCGTCACGAGCATCAGTGTCACTCCGCATGTATTGGAAGTGACGTCTGACGTGTACTCAGTTGTGCGGTGGAGGTGCACGCTCTAGTCGCTACCCTTGGTTCGCCGACAGCACAGCAGCGGTCGCCAGGCCGAAGTCACCATCTCGTGCGACCCCGAGCGACTAGCACTCTCGCACTCAACGTCCACAGCTTGTTGTGAGTCGTGACTTGTCGTGACAGGCACAGCAGATGAGCGGTCACACCACCGTCGCACACGACACGAGCCTTCCCCCCCGTGCACTGACGTCACTTGCCTATTCCTCCTCCCATCGCGCAGATCTTTTCCGCGAATCTCGAGACCGTTCTTCCTGCTCGTCTGCGCGTCTCACCTCACTAGCCCTGGCGAGCCGGGAACCTTTCTTCCGCTGTGCTGCATCGTGGCCTCCAAGTCGCTGCCGTAATCGCTCTCACAGCGTAGTCGTTCTGACATTATCGTCTAACTGACAGCGTAATAGCTCTAACAGCGTGATTGAGCTGACAGCATAGTCGCCGTGTCAGCATAGTCGCCGCGTCAGCATAGTCGCCGTGTCAGCATAGTCGCCGTGTCAGCATAGTCGCCGTGTCAGCATAGTCGCCGTGTCAGCATAGTCGCCGTGTCAGCATAGTCGCCGTGGCAGCATAGCCGTCGTGGCAGCATGATCGGCGACGGCAGCGCAGCGGCGATGGCGGCGGACCACCTGGCGGAATCGCTGCACGCCGCCGCTCCCGACGCCACGGCCGCGCTCGCCGCCGGCCCCACGCCGGCGCTCGTGGCGCTCGTGTCGCTGGCGGTGCTCGTGTCGTCGCTCGCGCTCTTCGTGCTTCGCCACCGCGCCGCCTCGTCGCCCACCGCACCGGTCGGCGCGGGGCCCGGCGGCGGCAGCAAGTACCAGCCGCTCGCTACAAAGGATGTAGCGGCGGTGGCGGCGGCGAATGGCGAGGAGCGGGCGGGCGAGGGGGATAAGGCGGAGCGCGACGAGGAGAAGGTGGCGATCGGCATTCTGTTCGGCACGCAGACGGGCACGTCCGAGGGATTCGCCAAGGTGGGCCGCGCGGAGGAGATGCGCGCTTGCTGGGGCGCGCGGAGGAGATGCGCGCTTGCTGGGGCGCGCGGATTGGGATCACGCTTGGATGAGCCGCGTGCATGCAATGCGCGGCTGAATGGGGTGGCTGGGAAAGGGATGGCACGACAGAACGAGCGACGACGAGGTCGCGTGGCTGCGCGAGATTCCTCGCCGACTGCTTCATCCCCTCCCTTCCCCCTCACCATCCCCCTCCTGCTACCTCACCCCTCTCTCCTGCCGCCTCGCATCGTCCCCCCCACTCTTCCCCCCTCTCTCTGCCGCCTCAACCCTCCCCCGTCGCCTCACCACCCCTCTCTGTCACCTCACCCACCCCCCTCTGGCCGCCTCGCCATTCCCCCTCGTTTCTCACCCGCTCCCTGCCCCTCTCGCCGTCCCTCAACCCGTGCCCCTCGTCGCCCTCGCAGACGCTCGTGTCAGAGCTGCAGCACCACTTCGCACCGCACTGCACCGTGGAGCTCAGCAGCCTGGTACGTTCGTGGGCGGTCGTGTGTTGATCCGTGCCTCTGAGTGAAGCAGAGCGCACTCTCGCGCACTGCATGCCACCACGCCTCGCATGCTCCCATGCTCCCATGCGTCCATGCCTTCACATGCTCCCATGCGTCCATGCCTTCACATGCTCCCATGCGTCCATGCCTTCACATGCTCCCATGCGTCCATGCCTTCACATGCTCCCATGCGTCCATGCCTTCACATGCTCCCATGCGTCCATGCCTTCACATGCTCCCATGCGTCCATGCCTTCACATGCTCCCATGCGTCCATGCCTTCACATGCTCCCATGCGTCCATGCCTTCACATGCTCCCATGCGTCCATGCCTTCACATGCTCCCATGCGTCCATGCCTTCACATGCTCCCATGCGTCCATGCCTTCACATGCTCCCATGCGTCCATGCCTTCACATGCTCCCATGCGTCCATGCCTTCACATGCTCCCATGCGTCCATGCCTTCACATGCTCCCATGCGTCCATGCCTTCACATGCTCCCATGCGTCCATGCCTTCACATGCTCCCATGCGTCCATGCCTTCACATGCTCCCATGCGTCCATGCCTTCACATGCTCCCATGCGTCCATGCCTTCACATGCTCCCATGCGTCCATGCCTTCACATGCTCCCATGCGTCCATGCCTTCACATGCTCCCATGCGTCCATGCCTTCACATGCTCCCATGCGTCCATGCCTTCACATGCTCCCATGCGTCCATGCCTTCACATGCTCCCATGCGTCCATGCCTTCACATGCTCCCATGCGTCCATGCCTTCACATGCTCCCATGCGTCCATGCCTTCACATGCTCCCATGCGTCCATGCCTTCACATGCTCCCATGCGTCCATGCCTTCACATGCTCCCATGCGTCCATGCCTTCACATGCTCCCATGCGTCCATGCCTTCACATGCTCCCATGCGTCCATGCCTTCACATGCTCCCATGCGTCCATGCCTTCACATGCTCCCATGCGTCCATGCCTTCACATGCTCCCATGCGTCCATGCCTTCACATGCTCCCATGCGTCCATGCCTTCACATGCTCCCATGCGTCCATGCCTTCACATGCTCCCATGCGTCCATGCCTTCACATGCTCCCATGCGTCCATGCCTTCACATGCTCCCATGCGTCCATGCCTTCACATGCTCCCATGCGTCCATGCCTTCACATGCTCCCATGCGTCCATGCCTTCACATGCTCCCATGCGTCCATGCCTTCACATGCTCCCATGCGTCCATGCCTTCACATGCTCCCATGCGTCCATGCCTTCACATGCTCCCATGCGTCCATGCCTTCACATGCTCCCATGCGTCCATGCCTTCACATGCTCCCATGCGTCCATGCCTTCACATGCTCCCATGCGTCCATGCCTTCACATGCTCCCATGCGTCCATGCCTTCACATGCTCCCATGCGTCCATGCCTTCACATGCTCCCATGCGTCCATGCCTTCACATGCTCCCATGCGTCCATGCCTTCACATGCTCCCATGCGTCCATGCCTTCACATGCTCCCATGCGTCCATGCCTTCACATGCTCCCATGCGTCCATGCCTTCACATGCTCCCATGCGTCCATGCCTTCACATGCTCCCATGCGTCCATGCCTTCACATGCTCCCATGCGTCCATGCCTTCACATGCTCCCATGCGTCCATGCCTTCACATGCTCCCATGCGTCCATGCCTTCACATGCTCCCATGCGTCCATGCCTTCACATGCTCCCATGCGTCCATGCCTTCACATGCTCCCATGCGTCCATGCCTTCACATGCTCCCATGCGTCCATGCCTTCACATGCTCCCATGCGTCCATGCCTTCACATGCTCCCATGCGTCCATGCCTTCACATGCTCCCATGCGTCCATGCCTTCACATGCTCCCATGCGTCCATGCCTTCACATGCTCCCATGCGTCCATGCCTTCACATGCTCCCATGCGTCCATGCCTTCACATGCTCCCATGCGTCCATGCCTTCACATGCTCCCATGCGTCCATGCCTTCACATGCTCCCATGCGTCCATGCCTTCACATGCTCCCATGCGTCCATGCCTTCACATGCTCCCATGCGTCCATGCCTTCACATGCTCCCATGCGTCCATGCCTTCACATGCTCCCATGCGTCCATGCCTTCACATGCTCCCATGCGTCCATGCCTTCACATGCTCCCATGCGTCCATGCCTTCACATGCTCCCATGCGTCCATGCCTTCACATGCTCCCATGCGTCCATGCCTTCACATGCTCCCATGCGTCCATGCCTTCACATGCTCCCATGCGTCCATGCCTTCACATGCTCCCATGCGTCCATGCCTTCACATGCTCCCATGCGTCCATGCCTTCACATGCTCCCATGCGTCCATGCCTTCACATGCTCCCATGCGTCCATGCCTTCACATGCTCCCATGCGTCCATGCCTTCACATGCTCCCATGCGTCCATGCCTTCACATGCTCCCATGCGTCCATGCCTTCACATGCTCCCATGCGTCCATGCCTTCACATGCTCCCATGCGTCCATGCCTTCACATGCTCCCATGCGTCCATGCCTTCACATGCTCCCATGCGTCCATGCCTTCACATGCTCCCATGCGTCCATGCCTTCACATGCTCCCATGCGTCCATGCCTTCACATGCTCCCATGCGTCCATGCCTTCACATGCTCCCATGCGTCCATGCCTTCACATGCTCCCATGCGTCCATGCCTTCACATGCTCCCATGCGTCCATGCCTTCACATGCTCCCATGCGTCCATGCCTTCACATGCTCCCATGCGTCCATGCCTTCACATGCTCCCATGCGTCCATGCCTTCACATGCTCCCATGCGTCCATGCCTTCACATGCTCCCATGCGTCCATGCCTTCACATGCTCCCATGCGTCCATGCCTTCACATGCTCCCATGCGTCCATGCCTTCACATGCTCCCATGCGTCCATGCCTTCACATGCTCCCATGCGTCCATGCCTTCACATGCTCCCATGCGTCCATGCCTTCACATGCTCCCATGCGTCCATGCCTTCACATGCTCCCATGCGTCCATGCCTTCACATGCTCCCATGCGTCCATGCCTTCACATGCTCCCATGCGTCCATGCCTTCACATGCTCCCATGCGTCCATGCCTTCACATGCTCCCATGCGTCCATGCCTTCACATGCTCCCATGCGTCCATGCCTTCACATGCTCCCATGCGTCCATGCCTTCACATGCTCCCATGCGTCCATGCCTTCACATGCTCCCATGCGTCCATGCCTTCACATGCTCCCATGCGTCCATGCCTTCACATGCTCCCATGCGTCCATGCCTTCACATGCTCCCATGCGTCCATGCCTTCACATGCTCCCATGCGTCCATGCCTTCACATGCTCCCATGCGTCCATGCCTTCACATGCTCCCATGCGTCCATGCCTTCACATGCTCCCATGCGTCCATGCCTTCACATGCTCCCATGCGTCCATGCCTTCACATGCTCCCATGCGTCCATGCCTTCACATGCTCCCATGCGTCCATGCCTTCACATGCTCCATGCGTCCATGCCTTCACATGCTCCCATGCGTCCATGCCTTCACATGCTCCCATGCGTCCATGCCTTCACATGCTCCCATGCGTCCATGCCTTCACATGCTCCCATGCGTCCATGCCTTCACATGCTCCCATGCGTCCATGCCTTCACATGCTCCCATGCGTCCATGCCTTCACATGCTCCCATGCGTCCATGCCTTCACATGCTCCCATGCGTCCATGCCTTCACATGCTCCCATGCGTCCATGCCTTCACATGCTCCCATGCGTCCATGCCTTCACATGCTCCCATGCGTCCATGCCTTCACATGCTCCCATGCGTCCATGCCTTCACATGCTCCCATGCGTCCATGCCTTCACATGCTCCCATGCGTCCATGCCTTCACATGCTCCCATGCGTCCATGCCTTCACATGCTCCCATGCGTCCATGCCTTCACATGCTCCCATGCGTCCATGCCTTCACATGCTCCCATGCGTCCATGCCTTCACATGCTCCCATGCGTCCATGCCTTCACATGCTCCCATGCGTCCATGCCTTCACATGCTCCCATGCGTCCATGCCTTCACATGCTCCCATGCGTCCATGCCTTCACATGCTCCCATGCGTCCATGCCTTCACATGCTCCCATGCGTCCATGCCTTCACATGCTCCCATGCGTCCATGCCTTCACATGCTCCCATGCGTCCATGCCTTCACATGCTCCCATGCGTCCATGCCTTCACATGCTCCCATGCGTCCATGCCTTCACATGCTCCCATGCGTCCATGCCTTCACATGCTCCATGCGTCCATGCCTTCACATGCTCCCATGCGTCCATGCCTTCACATGCTCCCATGCGTCCATGCCTTCACATGCTCCCATGCGTCCATGCCTTCACATGCTCCCATGCGTCCATGCCTTCACATGCTCCCATGCGTCCATGCCTTCACATGCTCCCATGCGTCCATGCCTTCACATGCTCCCATGCGTCCATGCCTTCACATGCTCCCATGCGTCCATGCCTTCACATGCTCCCATGCGTCCATGCCTTCACATGCTCCCATGCGTCCATGCCTTCACATGCTCCCATGCGTCCATGCCTTCACATGCTCCCATGCGTCCATGCCTTCACATGCTCCCATGCGTCCATGCCTTCACATGCTCCCATGCGTCCATGCCTTCACATGCTCCCATGCGTCCATGCCTTCACATGCTCCCATGCGTCCATGCCTTCACATGCTCCCATGCGTCCATGCCTTCACATGCTCCCATGCGTCCATGCCTTCACATGCTCCCATGCGTCCATGCCTTCACATGCTCCCATGCGTCCATGCCTTCACATGCTCCCATGCGTCCATGCCTTCACATGCTCCCATGCGTCCATGCCTTCACATGCTCCCATGCGTCCATGCCTTCACATGCTCCCATGCGTCCATGCCTTCACATGCTCCCATGCGTCCATGCCTTCACATGCTCCCATGCGTCCATGCCTTCACATGCTCCCATGCGGTCCATGCCTTCACATGCTCCCATGCGTCCATGCCTTCACATGCTCCCATGCGTCCATGCCTTCACATGCTCCCATGCGTCCATGCCTTCACATGCTCCCATGCGTCCATGCCTTCACATGCTCCCATGCGTCCATGCCTTCACATGCTCCCATGCGTCCATGCCTTCACATGCTCCCATGCGTCCATGCCTTCACATGCTCCCATGCGTCCATGCCTTCACATGCTCCCATGCGTCCATGCCTTCACATGCTCCCATGCGTCCATGCCTTCACATGCTCCCATGCGTCCATGCCTTCACATGCTCCCATGCGTCCATGCCTTCACATGCTCCCATGCGTCCATGCCTTCACATGCTCCCATGCGTCCATGCCTTCACATGCTCCCATGCGTCCATGCCTTCACATGCTCCCATGCGTCCATGCCTTCACATGCTCCCATGCGTCCATGCCTTCACATGCTCCCATGCGTCCATGCCTTCACATGCTCCCATGCGTCCATGCCTTCACATGCTCCCATGCGTCCATGCCTTCACATGCTCCCATGCGTCCATGCCTTCACATGCTCCCATGCGTCCATGCCTTCACATGCTCCCATGCGTCCATGCCTTCACATGCTCCCATGCGTCCATGCCTTCACATGCTCCCATGCGTCCATGCCTTCACATGCTCCCATGCGTCCATGCCTTCACATGCTCCCATGCGTCCATGCCTTCACATGCTCCCATGCGTCCATGCCTTCACATGCTCCCATGCGTCCATGCCTTCACATGCTCCCATGCGTCCATGCCTTCACATGCTCCCATGCGTCCATGCCTTCACATGCTCCCATGCGTCCATGCCTTCACATGCTCCCATGCGTCCATGCCTTCACATGCTCCCATGCGTCCATGCCTTCACATGCTCCCATGCGTCCATGCCTTCACATGCTCCCATGCGTCCATGCCTTCACATGCTCCCATGCGTCCATGCCTTCACATGCTCCCATGCGTCCATGCCTTCACATGCTCCCATGCGTCCATGCCTTCACATGCTCCCATGCGTCCATGCCTTCACATGCTCCCATGCGTCCATGCCTTCACATGCTCCCATGCGTCCATGCCTTCACATGCTCCCATGCGTCCATGCCTTCACATGCTCCCATGCGTCCATGCCTTCACATGCTCCCATGCGTCCATGCCTTCACATGCTCCCATGCGTCCATGCCTTCACATGCTCCCATGCGTCCATGCCTTCACATGCTCCCATGCGTCCATGCCTTCACATGCTCCCATGCGTCCATGCCTTCACATGCTCCCATGCGTCCATGCCTTCACATGCTCCCATGCGTCCATGCCTTCACATGCTCCCATGCGTCCATGCCTTCACATGCTCCCATGCGTCCATGCCTTCACATGCTCCCATGCGTCCATGCCTTCACATGCTCCCATGCGTCCATGCCTTCACATGCTCCCATGCGTCCATGCCTTCACATGCTCCCATGCGTCCATGCCTTCACATGCTCCCATGCGTCCATGCCTTCACATGCTCCCATGCGTCCATGCCTTCACATGCTCCCATGCGTCCATGCCTTCACATGCTCCCATGCGTCCATGCCTTCACATGCTCCCATGCGTCCATGCCTTCACATGCTCCCATGCGTCCATGCCTTCACATGCTCCCATGCGTCCATGCCTTCACATGCTCCCATGCGTCCATGCCTTCACATGCTCCCATGCGTCCATGCCTTCACATGCTCCCATGCGTCCATGCCTTCACATGCTCCCATGCGTCCATGCCTTCACATGCTCCCATGCGTCCATGCCTTCACATGCTCCCATGCGTCCATGCCTTCACATGCTCCCATGCGTCCATGCCTTCACATGCTCCCATGCGTCCATGCCTTCACATGCTCCCATGCGTCCATGCCTTCACATGCTCCCATGCGTCCATGCCTTCACATGCTCCCATGCGTCCATGCCTTCACATGCTCCCATGCGTCCATGCCTTCACATGCTCCCATGCGTCCATGCCTTCACATGCTCCCATGCGTCCATGCCTTCACATGCTCCCATGCGTCCATGCCTTCACATGCTCCCATGCGTCCATGCCTTCACATGCTCCCATGCGTCCATGCCTTCACATGCTCCCATGCGTCCATGCCTTCACATGCTCCCATGCGTCCATGCCTTCACATGCTCCCATGCGTCCATGCCTTCACATGCTCCCATGCGTCCATGCCTTCACATGCTCCCATGCGTCCATGCCTTCACATGCTCCCATGCGTCCATGCCTTCACATGCTCCCATGCGTCCATGCCTTCACATGCTCCCATGCGTCCATGCCTTCACATGCTCCCGTTCCCCGTCACAACGTATGGATGCTTGCTCATGCTGCTTCATGCACGCATGCATCCAACCCCTCGCTGTGTGCGCTGCAATACCCCCGGTGCCGCCATGCCCCTGTGCGCCCACGCGCCCATGGCAGGATGATCTAGCGGAGGACAGCGATGCCTTCACAGCCAAGCTCAACGCCTTCCACGCCGCCTTCTTCCTCGTCGCCACGTGAGCTGCCGCTGCCACTGCCCCCTGCTCTGCTCCCTGCTCCTCTGCGCACCGCTGTGCTCTGCTGCTCTTCTTGCTGCTGCCAGCTCATCTCCATGCTGCTATCGCGTCCCCCGTGCCACACACGCCAGCCGCCTGTCGCTTTGCTCCACATCTAAATCCACCCGCCCTATCCCTGTGGCCTCCCTGCCTCCCCCACAGGTACGGTGATGGCGAGCCAACGGACGATGCGCAGCGCTTCTTCAAATGGCTGCACGCCACCGCTGCTGATGCAGAGGCTCAGGTACGCACCGCTGCTGCTGCAGAGGCTCAGGTACGCACGGCTGCAGAGGCTGAAAGCCGCTCATGCATGCATGTTTCCATTCATCACTGGTTGCTGCTATGCTCTGCTCTCTTCCTGCTGCCATCCCTCTGTGAATGCATCAGCCCCCATGCGTCCCGCCTGCACCTCCTCTGCTCTGCACCCACCAGGACGACAACCCCTTGCCACTGCAGGGGCTTCGCTTTGCTGTCTTCGGGCTGGGCAATCGGCAGTACGAGCACTTCAACCTGGTATGCCAGTGGTATTGTCCACCTTGCCCCACCATGGGTTCTGCCATGCCAGCACGCCATAAAGCTGTATGGTGCATGCTTCAGCATCTCTGCCCGCTTGCCTGCTCCCCCATCCATCATCGTCGCCTTACGTCCGTCCACCTTCCAATCCACTTCCGTTCCGTTCCCCCTGCCCACCCGTGCCACCCCATGTTCACCTCATACTTCACACCGCCTCATCTACCAGCGCTCCCTTCCCCCGGCCCACCCCCATTGCTGTATGTGTGTGTGTGGCGGTGCAGATGGGCAAGATGCTTGACAAGCACCTCGCTGCCCTCGGTACGCTGCTATCCCATGCCCTCCATGCCCTCCATGCCCTCCCTGCCCGCCATGCCCGCCATGCCCGCCATGCCCGCCATGCCCGCCATGCCCCCCGTGCTTTGCTGCTGCTGCTTCCTTCTCTTCATGCGTCTTGCCAGAAATCGCTCTGCCTCGGTCCCTCTTTCCCCATCCCACCAGGCCCTCTCTTCTCTGCTGCCCCAACCATCACCCCCCATCACCCCCCCATGACCCCACCATTCGTGTTACGTGGCTGGCAGGAGGGCAGCGAGTGGCGGAGGTGGGGCTGGGAGACGACGACCAGTGCATAGAGGACGACTTCAAGGCCTGGTGAGTGCCCCCTTGCATCCCCCCTGCACTCCTCTGCACCCCTCTGCACCCCCCCTGCACCCCCCCTGCACCCCCCCTGCACCCCCCCTGCACCCCCCCTGCCTCGCCCTCACCTCCTCTGCACTCCATGCCCCAACCCCCCTGCACTCCATGCCTCGCCCCCCCTGCACCCAATGTCTTGCCCCACTGGCCCCCACTTACCCCGCCGCGTCCCTTCTCACCCTTCTCACCCCTCTTACCCTTCTCACCCCTCTCACCCTTCTCACCCTTCTCACCCCTCTCACCCTTCTCACCCCTCTCACCCTTCTCACCCTTCTCACCCTTCTCACCCCTCTCACCCTTCTCACCCTTCTCACCCCTCTCACCCCTCTCACCCCTCTCACCCCTCTCACCCCTCTCACCCCTCTCACCCCTCTCACCCCTCTCACCCCTCTCACCCTTCTCGCCCCTCTCGCCCTCACTCACCCCGTGCATGTGCACATGGCCGGCAGGCGGGCGGGGCTGTGGAAGGGCTTTGAGGCGCTCGTGCTGGGCCGGGGGGCTGGCGGCGAGGGGCAGCAGGGCGACTGGACCTCACGGGGCCCCACTCACCCCCACTCTTCCCCTCTCGCCCCTCTCGCCCTCACTCACCCCCCACGGCAGGCGAGCAGGGCTGTGGAAGGGCTTTGAGTCGCTCGTGCTGGGCCGGGGGGCGGGGGGCGAGGGGCAGGAGGGCGACTGGACCTCACGGGGCCCCACTCACCCCCACTCTTCCCCTCTCGCCCCTCTCGCCCTCACTCACCCCCCACGGCAGGCGAGCAGGGCTGTGGAAGGGCTTTGAGTCGCTCGTGCTGGGCCGGGGGGCGGGGGGCGAGGGGCAGGAGGGCGAGGGGGCAGCGGGGGAGTGGGAGGAGGAGGAGGAGGAGGTGCAGGAGTACCAAGTCAAGTTCCACAGCAGGGGGGGGCAGGCTGGGGCTGCTGGGGAGAATGGGGTGCTCAGTGGGGAAGTGCATGGGGTGCCCAATGGGGTGCTGAATGGGGAGGTGTATGGGGAGGTGAATGGGAAGATGAATGGTGGAGGAAAGGAGGTGAATGGCATGGTGGAGCATGCTAACGGCGGGGAGGAGGAGCAGATGAGCATGGGGGAGGCGATTGCTGCAGTGGGGTGGCACTCGCACAGCATTGGCAGGTGGGTGCTGTTAAAAGCTGTGGAGTGATGAAGACTGAGAAAGTAAGGGGGATGTTTGGGATTTTGGGCAACAATATTGGCCACCGCCACTAAGCTGAGTTGGGATGCTCTAATGGATGGAATAATCCAGTTGATATGCAATCTCACGTGCATGCAAAGGTAAAAGAGTGCTTTGTTTCACAAAACCACTCCAGCTGTGTGCTGGTTGCCTCTGGCCCTTTCTTCCACTGCTTTCCTCTGACTGATTGCACTGCCAAGGTCATTCATCTGCTTTCCTCTCACTCATTGCACTGCCAAGGTCATTCATCTGCTTTCCTCTCACTCATTGCACTGCCAAGGTCATTCATCTGCTTTCCTCTCACTCATTGCACTGCCAAGGTCATTCATCTGCTTTCCTCTCACTCATTGCACTGCCAAGGTCATTCATCTGCTTTCCTCTCACTCATTGCACTGCCAAGGTCATTCATCTGCTTTCCTCTCACTCATTGCACTGCCAAGGTCATTCATCTGCTTTCCTCTCACTCATTGCACTGCCAAGGTCATTCATCTGCTTTCCTCTCACTCATTGCACTGCCAAGGTCATTCATCTGCTTTCCTCTCACTCATTGCACTGCCAAGGTCATTCATCTGCTTTCCTCTCACTCATTGCACTGCCAAGGTCATTCATCTGCTTTCCTCTCACTCATTGCACTGCCAAGGTCATTCATCTGCTTTCCTCTCACTCATTGCACTGCCAAGGTCATTCATCTGCTTTCCTCTCACTCATTGCACTGCCAAGGTCATTCATCTGCTTTCCTCTCACTCATTGCACTGCCAAGGTCATTCATCTGCTTTCCTCTCACTCATTGCACTGCCAAGGTCATTCATCTGCTTTCCTCTCACTCATTGCACTGCCAAGGTCATTCATCTGCTTTCCTCTCACTCATTGCACTGCCAAGGTCATTCATCTGCTTTCCTCTCACTCATTGCACTGCCAAGGTCATTCATCTGCTTTCCTCTCACTCATTGCACTGCCAAGGTCATTCATCTGCTTTCCTCTCACTCATTGCACTGCCAAGGTCATTCATCTGCTTTCCTCTCACTCATTGCACTGCCAAGGTCATTCATCTGCTTTCCTCTCACTCATTGCACTGCCAAGGTCATTCATCTGCTTTCCTCTCACTCATTGCACTGCCAAGGTCATTCATCTGCTTTCCTCTCACTCATTGCACTGCCAAGGTCATTCATCTGCTTTCCTCTCACTCATTGCACTGCCAAGGTCATTCATCTGCTTTCCTCTCACTCATTGCACTGCCAAGGTCATTCATCTGCTTTCCTCTCACTCATTGCACTGCCAAGGTCATTCATCTGCTTTCGTCACTCCTCTCTCCTCTGTTTCCGGATTCACCCTTCTCCTTGGGCCTGCTGGCCTGCTGCCGTGTGTCTCTCGTGTGTCATGGCAGGGCGCGGGTGGCAGTGGTGAGGGAGCTGCAGGCGCCCGATTCAGACCGATCCACGCTGCATGTGGAGCTCGACCTGCAGCCCTGCCCCCACCTGCAGTACGGCCCCCTTGACCCCCTGCAACTCACCACTTCCCACTGCAGCAACACCCCATGCGCTACCCCATGCGCCACACCCCTCATTGCTCGTCTCACTCGGACTTTCTCTCCCGTTTCTGCCGCATGCTCGTCCCCATACTTTCCCTCCGCATTCCTCCCATGCCATGCCATGCCGTGCCAGTGCCATGCTATGCCATGCCATGCCATGCCATGCCATGCCTTGCCATGCCTTGCCATGCCATGTGATCCCGGGCCATGTCATGCCATGCCATGCCATGTGATCCCGGGCCATGTCATGCCATGCCATGCCATCATGCACCATGCTCCCCTCCCGTGCCATGCCACTCAGGTATGAGGTGGGCGATCACGTGGCAGTCTTTCCTGAGAACAGTGATGCTGACGTGGCAGCAGTGGCCAAGTGTCTGGGATTGGATCTGGATGACGTCATCTCTCTGCATCTCCCCTCGCCCTCCTCCTCCCTGCCACCGCCCCCTCCCGGCCGCCACTCCATCCGCTCCGTGCTCGCCTCGCTGCCTGACCTCCACTCCTCGCCCCGCAAGGTACCCTCCTTTCTCTGCCTCTCTTGTGCAAGCTGCCTTTTCTATGCCAAGCAGTGCCACCCGCCCCTCTCCCCCTGCGCACCTGTTGCCGTCCGTCCCTTCCCGTGCGCTAAAGCGACTCCTTCTTTCCACCCCTCCACACCCTGTACTCACTGCGCTGGCCTCGCTGCACCAGGCAGCGCTGGCAGTGTTGGCGCACTTTGCCTCCCACCCCGATGAGGCGGCACGCCTCAAGCACCTCGCCAGCGGCGGTGGGAAGGAGGAGTACCGGGAGTGGGTGGCGGCGGCACACCGCTCGCTGCTGGAGGTGCTGCACGCCTTCCCCTCCGCTCGCCCGCCCCTCGCTGTGTTCCTCGCCTCCGTTGCTCCTCGCCTGCAGCCACGCTTCTACTCCATCTCCTCCCACCCCAGGTGCGCTCTCTCTCTCCCCGCATTCCATCCCAAGTGAGTGCTCTTCCGCCTGCCACTCACCCCACTTGTATCAATCCATCCTTTCTCCGCCAGTCCCCACTATTCGAATCGTTACTTACATGCTCCTCCATGAGTTTACTCCTTCTGTGCGATCTGATTCCCTCCTCCCCACGCATGTACCCTTCCGCTTATCCCACGCTTCACTGCCTGCTGCCAGTTCCCATCGCCCTTACCCACGCGGCCCGCAACCACCCTGCGCCCTGCCTCCTACCCCCAGGCACGCGCCAGGCGCACTGCACATAACGTGTGCGGTGGTGAGGGACGTCACCCCAGCAGGCCGCACGCACCACGGCATCTAAATGCCGCCACTTCCCATTGCCCCTACCCCCCTGCGCCCTGTGCCCTACCCCCAGGCACGCGCCAGGCGCACTGCACATAACGTGTGCCGTGGTGAGGGACGTCACCCCCGCAGGCCGCACGCACCACGGCGTCTGCTCCTCCTTCCTGCACCGCCACCTCCCCCTGCCCACCCCCGCCTCCACCTCCCCTGCCTCCGACCCCTCGCCCCCCGTGCTGCTGCCGGCGTTCATCCGCTCGTCGCACTTCCGCCCACCCGCCGACCCCGCTCGCCCCATTGTCATGGTCGGCCCCGGCACCGGCCTCGCTCCCTTCAGAGCCTTCCTGCAGGTGCTGCCACTGTAGCTCCACTGCCCCTTTCTCGCCTGCGCTGCCACTCAGCCCTCCACTCGCCTGCTTCTCACCTGTCTGCTGTTAATCCATGGCCATGCTGCACCCCCTGGGACCGCACTGCACCGCAGGCTGTCTCTGACGGCGTGGCAGCGAGTGGGGCCGCCGAGTCCCAGCATTGCACTCCGCTCTTCCCGCCTCCTCCTCGCCTCCACCCCTCCTTTTTCATATGCTCCCTTCCCCCCCTTCCCCCCCCTTCCCATCCCCCCCTCTTCTATCCGCAGCACCGCGCTTTGATGCAAAAGGATGGGCAGCAGCTGGGGGAGGCACTTCTGTTCTTCGGGTGCCGGCACCGCGACCAGGTGCTGCCAGGGGCGGGCAAGCAGGGGGAGGGAGGCACGCAAAAGGGGAAGGCAGGGGGGGGTCGGAGCGGCCAGTTGGGGGGGCGCTGGGAAGTGCAGTGGGTGGTGCAGTGGTTGAGGTCGTGAGGGAAGGAGGGGAGGGATTAGGGAAGGGAATGGGTGAGGGAATGGAGGAGGGAGCGAGGGAGGGAATGGAGGAGGGAGTGGGGGAGGGAATGGAGGAGGGAGCAGGAAAAGATGGGAAGTGGTCTGCCTTGAGATGTTCCTCGCATGTTTACGTGTGCGACACCTGGGCACCAGCGTGTGTGTGATTGTGCGCACAATAACTCAGCCCATCCATCCCTCTGATCCTGTGCGCCCTCCCCCTCTCCCCCTCCCCCCTGGGCAGGACTACATCTACCGGGAGGAGCTAGCAGCGTACGAGGAAGGTGGCGTGCTATCTGCGCTGCACGTGGCCTTCTCCCGAGACGGGCCCTCCAAGGTCTACGTGCAGCACCTGCTCAAGCAACAGGTGCGTGCAGCACCTACTGAAGCAAGAGGTATGTGCAGCAGTTTTACTCTATGTACGTCCGAACCTGCTCGCGCATGCATGCTCGCTCACTTGTTGCCACATCACCATGCCTATCCTATCACATCACCATGCCTTTCCTATCACCTCACCATGCCTATCCTATCACATCACCATGCCTATCCTATCACCTCACCATGCCTATCCTATCACATCACCATGCCTATCCTATCACCTCACCATGCCTATCCTATCACCTCACCATGCCTATCCTATCACCTCACCATGCCTATCCTATCACCTCACCATGCCTATCCTATCACATCACCATGCCCATCCTATCACATCACCATGCCCATCCTATCACCTCACCATGCCCATCCTATCACATCACCATGCCCATCCTATCACCTCACCATGCCCATCCTATCACATCACCATGCCCATCCTATCACATCACCATGCCCATCCTATCACCTCACCATGTATCACATCACCATGCCCATCCTATCACATCACCATGCCCATCCTATCACATCACCATGCCCATCCTATCACATCACCATGCCCATCCTATCACATCACCATGCCCATCCTATCACATCACCATGCCCATCCTATCACATCACCATGCCCATCCTATCACATCACCATGCCCATCCTATCACATCACCATGCCCATCCTATCACATCACCATGCCCATCCTATCACATCACCATGCCCATCCTATCACATCACCATGCCCATCCTATCACATCACCATGCCCATCCTATCACATCACCATGCCCATCCTATCACATCACCATGCCCATCCTATCACATCACCATGCCCATCCTATCACATCACCATGCCCATCCTATCACATCACCATGCCCATCCTATCACCTCACCATGCCCATCCTATCACATCACCATGCCCATCCTATCACATCACCATGCCCATCCTATCACATCACCATGCCCATCCTATCACATCACCATGCCCATCCTATCACATCACCATGCCCATCCTATCACATCACCATGCCCATCCTATCACATCACCATGCCCATCCTATCACATCACCATGCCCATCCTATCACATCACCATGCCCATCCTATCACATCACCATGCCCATCCTATCACCTCACCATGCCCATCCTATCACCTCACCATGCCCATCCTATCACATCACCATGCCCATCCTATCACATCACCATGCCCATCCTATCACATCACCATGCCCATCCTATCACATCACCATGCCCATCCTATCACATCACCATGCCCATCCTATCACATCACCATGCCCATCCTATCACATCACCATGCCCATCCTATCACATCACCATGCCCATCCTATCACATCACCATGCCCATCCTATCACATCACCATGCCCATCCTATCACATCACCATGCCCATCCTATCACATCACCATGCCCATCCTATCACATCACCATGCCCATCCTATCACATCACCATGCCCATCCTATCACATCACCATGCCCATCCTATCACATCACCATGCCCATCCTATCACATCACCATGCCCATCCTATCACATCACCATGCCCATCCTATCACATCACCATGCCCATCCTATCACATCACCATGCCCATCCTATCACCTCACCATGCCCATCCTATCACCTCACCATGCCCATCCTATCACATCACCATGCCCATCCTATCACATCACCATGCCCATCCTATCACCTCACCATGCCCATCCTATCACCTCACCATGCCCATCCTATCACATCACCATGCCCATCCTATCACATCACCATGCCCATCCTATCACATCACCATGCCCATCCTATCACATCACCATGCCCATCCTATCACATCACCATGCCCATCCTATCACATCACCATGCCCATCCTATCACATCACCATGCCCATCCTATCACATCACCATGCCCATCCTATCACATCACCATGCCCATCCTATCACATCACCATGCCCATCCTATCACATCACCATGCCCATCCTATCACATCACCATGCCCATCCTATCACATCACCATGCCCATCCTATCACATCACCATGCCCATCCTATCACATCACCATGCCCATCCTATCACATCACCATGCCCATCCTATCACATCACCATGCCCATCCTATCACATCACCATGCCCATCCTATCACATCACCATGCCCATCCTATCACATCACCATGCCCATCCTATCACATCACCATGCCCATCCTATCACATCACCATGCCCATCCTATCACATCACCATGCCCATCCTATCACATCACCATGCCCATCCTATCACATCACCATGCCCATCCTATCACATCACCATGCCCATCCTATCACATCACCATGCCATCCTATCACATCACCATGCCCATCCTATCACATCACCATGCCCATCCTATCACATCACCATGCCCATCCTATCACATCACCATGCCCATCCTATCACATCACCATGCCCATCCTATCACATCACCATGCCCATCCTATCACATCACCATGCCCATCCTATCACATCACCATGCCCATCCTATCACATCACCATGCCATCCATCCTATCACATCACCATGCCCATCCTATCACATCACCATGCCCATCCTATCACATCACCATGCCCATCCTATCACATCACCATGCCCATCCTATCACATCACCATGCCCATCCTATCACATCACCATGCCCATCCTATCACATCACCATGCCCATCCTATCACATCACCATGCCCATCCTATCACATCACCATGCCCATCCTATCACATCACCATGCCCATCCTATCACATCACCATGCCCATCCTATCACATCACCATGCCCATCCTATCACATCACCATGCCCATCCTATCACATCACCATGCCCATCCTATCACATCACCATGCCCATCCTATCACATCACCATGCCCATCCTATCACATCACCATGCCCATCCTATCACATCACCATGCCCATCCTATCACATCACCATGCCCATCCTATCACATCACCATGCCCATCCTATCACATCACCATGCCCATCCTATCACATCACCATGCCCATCCTATCACATCACCATGCCCATCCTATCACATCACCATGCCCATCCTATCACATCACCATGCCCATCCTATCACATCACCATGCCCATCCTATCACATCACCATGCCCATCCTATCACATCACCATGCCCATCCTATCACATCACCATGCCCATCCTATCACATCACCATGCCCATCCTATCACATCACCATGCCCATCCTATCACATCACCATGCCCATCCTATCACATCACCATGCCCATCCTATCACATCACCATGCCCATCCTATCACATCACCATGCCCATCCTATCACATCACCATGCCCATCCTATCACATCACCATGCCCATCCTATCACATCACCATGCCCATCCTATCACATCACCATGCCCATCCTATCACATCACCATGCCCATCCTATCACATCACCATGCCCATCCTATCACATCACCATGCCCATCCTATCACATCACCATGCCCATCCTATCACATCACCATGCCCATCCTATCACATCACCATGCCCATCCTATCACATCACCATGCCCATCCTATCACATCACCATGCCCATCCTATCACATCACCATGCCCATCCTATCACATCACCATGCCCATCCTATCACATCACCATGCCCATCCTATCACATCACCATGCCCATCCTATCACCTCACCATGCCCATCCTATCACCTCACCATGCCCATCCTATCACATCACCATGCCCATCCTATCACATCACCATGCCCATCCTATCACATCACCATGCCCATCCTATCACATCACCATGCCCATCCTATCACATCACCATGCCCATCCTATCACATCACCATGCCCATCCTATCACATCACCATGCCCATCCTATCACATCACCATGCCCATCCTATCACATCACCATGCCCATCCTATCACATCACCATGCCCATCCTATCACATCACCATGCCCATCCTATCACCTCACCATGCCCATCCTATCACATCACCATGCCCATCCTATCACATCACCATGCCCATCCTATCACATCACCATGCCCATCCTATCACATCACCATGCCCATCCTATCACATCACCATGCCCATCCTATCACATCACCATGCCCATCCTATCACATCACCATGCCCATCCTATCACATCACCATGCCCATCCTATCACATCACCATGCCCATCCTATCACATCACCATGCCCATCCTATCACATCACCATGCCCATCCTATCACATCACCATGCCCATCCTATCACATCACCATGCCCATCCTATCACCTCACCATGCCCATCCTATCACATCACCATGCCCATCCTATCACATCACCATGCCCATCCTATCACATCACCATGCCCATCCTATCACATCACCATGCCCATCCTATCACATCACCATGCCCATCCTATCACATCACCATGCCCATCCTATCACATCACCATGCCCATCCTATCACATCACCATGCCCATCCTATCACATCACCATGCCCATCCTATCACATCACCATGCCCATCCTATCACATCACCATGCCCATCCTATCACATCACCATGCCCATCCTATCACATCACCATGCCCATCCTATCACATCACCATGTTTCTCCTCCCTAAACGTGTGTGCGTGTCTGTGTGGGTGTGCGCACTTGCGGTGGCACAGGCGGAGAGGGTGTGGGAGGTGGTGGGGAGCGGGGGAGGCAGTGTGTACGTGTGTGGAGACGCCAAGGCCATGGCCCGGGACGTGCACCACGCGCTGCTCGAGGTCGCAGTGGAGCAGGTGGGTGGGCACTGTGGGTTCATGCTGGGTGGAGCAGGTGGGGTGGACAGTGTGTACGTGTGTGGCGATGCCAAGGCCATGGCCCGGGACGTGCACCACGCGCTGCTGGAGGTGGCTGTGGAGCAGGTGGGTGGGCACTGTGCGTTCATGTCCTGCACGTGCACGAGTTTTAGTTCCTTTCCTCCTTCTCTGTCTGCTCTTCTGCTCTGTGCTGTGCTTCTGCGGTTGCTCAACGCTCATTGATTCATCCATCCATGTGTGTGCGCGTGTGTACATGTTTCCATGGTTTTGGGAGTGTTGCAGGGGAAAATGGCGGAGGAGGAGGCAGTAGCGTTGCTGGATGGATTGGCGGAGCAGGGTAGATATCTAAGAGACATTTGGTGACCTGCTGCTACATGCATGCTACTGTATTTCGGTTGTGCTAGTTTGTGGTGAGGCGCTGGCTGTTCCAATCTATGTGCTTTACAAATCAAGAAAGAAAGATACTGCTGCCTTTTGGTGTTTTGCCATGACTACGCATGCCTTTCTAAACAACGCTGAATGGTTGCAACCTGCAATCATTTCGCAGTACAGAACTGAATATTCAGTAGAGCCAGCCAGATTAGATTGGAAGAGCACTCAGCTGTTTGTACGGATCTCCCAAATCTAGAGATGAGAGTTTATGTTTCGAGAAAAACAGAATGACCTGTGCAACGAAAGTGCAATAACGAGTCGTTTGGCAGTTAGCACCTGGAACTGTGCTCGAGAGCTTCTCTGAAGCTTCAGTTCGCGCTTCTCCCGCAAGCCTGTCGAACCAGAGCCATGCGTTCGGCACGAACCTGGAGGCGCTCACGGGTTCACCTGGTCGAGCCGCATCTCAGTTGGGAGGAATCTTTTCAACGCGCCGCCGCAACGCCCCAGAAGCCAAACGCGCCGCAATGCCCATAGCCCAACCAGAGCACTCCAGCAGCACACCCCTCATCCACATGGCAAGGCACCACACCACCGCCATTGCCCATCCATCCGTCCACCCCTCTGCGCAGATCGTCCAAATCCACTCACAACCTTCCCTCCACAGCTGTGCATAGTCCCGATCTGTACATAGCCGTGAAAAAATCCTTCACCACATTCGGCCTCCACGCTTCCACCATTCCAGACCTCTGCTGCCCCTCGCCCCATCGCGCACGCCTTCCTCGCGCTTGCTCTCAGCGCCAACCCGCTCCGCCGCGTCAACTCTCCGTTCCCGCCCCTGCGCCACTCCGCACGACCGCCATCCCCGCATGGCTCCTCTTTGCGTGTCGCCACTGACCGCGCGGCGCCTCTCGTTCGCCGGGCTTGCGCTCTGCGCTCTCCTCGCCGCCGCCCTCTTCCGCCCCGCCCTCTCCCGCGCATCTCTGCCCGTCGCGCGCGGACGAGCGCTGGAGGAGGACGACGAGCGGGAGGGGAGCAGCGATGACGGCGGATACACGGATCAGCTGCGCTCGCAGGGAAAGTTGCGCGCGCATTGGAGCGTGGAGGGAGAGGACGAGGTTAATGGCGACTCGTCGCACGACGACCATGACGACGATGGCGACGACCATGACGACGATGGCGACGATCACGGCGATAGCAATGGTGGCGACGATGGCGACCATGGTGACGACCATTCGCACGACCACGACAGATCCGGGCTGTCTTCGTCGCCGTCTGTGCCCTTCCCCACCACCCCGTCTGCCCCCGCCGCCTCCCCGCCGCCCCCCACCTTCCCGTCGCTGACGTGCGCGCCTGGCGCGGGGCATTGCGAGTTCGCGGGGACGGCGGGGTGCAGCCCCGCGCGGATCTTCTGCAACGGCTCCTGCTGCATCGTACGCTCTGCGCCCTAACCCTTCGCTCTCCCCCTTGGCGCACGCACTCTCACACACACGCCGCACACAATCGCACACGTACAAAACAGACCTACATGAACACGCACACGCACGCACCCACACACAAGCGCACGCTATCAATCACGCACACACACACGCACACACAGACGCGCGCACGTGAGCGCGCGCACACACGTTGAGAGGACATGCGATGGGATCTTTTGCCCGCTATCCCGCTGTCCATGCTCCCACTACCTCATACACAAGCATGCGCATGAACACCCCCTCTTCCCCCCTCTCGCCCTCTCTCTCCCCTTCCCTCTTCCCCTCTCCCCCCCGTGGCGCCACCATCAGGACGACCACCACTACCCGTGCTGTGGCGGCAAGGTGTGCTGCGAGCGCCGCCCCGGGTCGTGCTGCAGGAACCAGCGAGGCGAGCCCTACTGCTGCCGCTTCCCCTCCACCTGCTGCCGCCAAGGCTGCTGTGGCTTCTGACCGCCCTGCGCACGTCCCCCACTCCCGCCACACCATCTGCTGCTTGTCCGCACCCCCGCATGGCCTCCAAGGCGAAGCCTGTCTGCCTCCCTCCATGAGCGCGCGGCTCATTCCAGGACAATCCCCTGCTAGTTATCGAATGCCACATGCTCTGCTCTCTCTGCTTCCCCATAGCTATGTGCATGTGCAATAAAGAGGCACTGAATTGTAAAGGTAGCTGTCCCTGCATTGTGGATGCAAAGAGATCAGGAGCATGGCCTGTTACGGTATTACCAGTACTACACTTGTATTTTCACATGTGCCTCTTGAAGATGTGCAGTAAAGCAGAGAGCCATCTTGATGCAAGTTGAGTGCATACTGTAGGGCACAGTGATACAGGGCTCTGGCTAGAGGGTATGTATGACATGACAAGGGGTTGTACAAGCATGCACTTGGCACGGGTAGGGTAACCTGCAGTGCTGGGACGAACTGCAGCTTACATGCACACATATGGCACACACAGCATGCTGCCCTGCATGCAAGGCAGCATGCCAACATGCCAGCATGCGCCATGGCCATGTGATCACCAGCCAGGGCTGGCATGTGGGCAGCAGGGGTTGCTCAGAGGCTGGAGGGTGGTGAGGGCGCGGAGGGCGCGGAGGAGGGGGTCTCCATGGGGGTGACGTCCATGGGGTAGCTGCCCAGCACTCGCAGAAACGGCGCCATCTCCTGATGGGGTGGGGGGGACACGAATGGGAGCAGGGGGAGTGTGAGTGCAGTGATGCAAGGAGGGCGCAGGGGGTGCAGAGGGTGGGGTGCACACGTCACACATGGGGCCGACGTCCATGGGGTAGCTGCCCAGCACACGCAGAAATGGCGCCATCTCCTGATGCAACGGGGGGGATACACATGTGAGGGCAGTGATGTGCGCAGGGGGTAGTGCGCTTGCAGTGATGTGAGGAGGGGGAAAGGGAAGTGAATGAGACAAAGCGGGGATGGGCAGGGGGAGAGAAGATGAAGAGGGATATCCGGGGGGAGGGAGGGGAGGGGAGGAAAGGGGAGGCGAGGAGAAAGGAGGGGCAGGGAGGGGCGGACCTGGAGGTGGCGCATGGCGTTCTGCACTCGGGGCTCCGCCAGGGATGCCTGGAAGTCGATGTAGAAGAGGTAGTCGAATGACTGGTACGCCATGGCGCTGCTGCCGTGGGGGGATGGTGTGGAGATGGGGAGATGGTGGGGAGATGGGGAGATGGGGAGATGGGGATGGTGGAGATGGTGGAGATGGATGGGCACAGAGGGTGAGGGGTGCCTGGAAGTCAATGTAGAACAGGTAGTCGAATGACTGGTATGCCATGGCGCTGCTGCCATGGGGGGGACAAGGGCAGACGGAGGGGCAACGAGGGCGAGAGGGGTGGTCAGGCAGTTAGACCGGGTGGTGGCAACAGCATGAGTGAGTGAGTGAGTGAGTGAGTAAGTGAGTGAGTGAGTGAGTTAGTGAGTGAGGGAGTGAGGTCGTATATATAGACGTCAATTAGAAGAAGTGAGTCGTGGAAGGGATGTGGATGAGAGGGTGATGGAAGGGATGGAGGAGGGCGAGGGAACGAGGAGGAAGGAGAGAGGTGGGGTGAGGGGAGGAGAACTGACTCTTGGGAGGCGGCGGCAGGGATGTCTGTTAGGGGCATGGCGGGCGCAGCGAGGGAGGAGCGGTCCAACCAGTCGACATAGAGAGGCTTGTCCCTGTGCGGGCGAGACTCTATCTGTGACCGTGCGCATGCACGCATGGTCACCACACACACACAGACATCCATACACATGAGGGTGGCGTGCACACATACACACACACACATGTGCAGAAACGAGCATACGGATGCACACACACACACACACACACACACACACATGCGCAGAAACAAGCATACAGATGCACACAGGGCGACACACAAAAGCAGCACGAGTGAGAGAGACCCAGGAGAGCGAGGGAGGCCAGTTCAGGGTGCGATGAGGGGGAAGGCCTCACCCTTGCACGTGCACACACATGCCACACACCGGGAAGCAGGCCATCTGCAAACACACACGCACAGGAAGATACTGTTTCTTCCTTTCCTAGGCCTAGGAAAGCAAGAGACAGCAGACAAGTGCGGTGCGGTGCAGTGCGGTGCGGGGAGGCATCGACCTTGGTGAGGTTGATGTCTCGGAGGGCGAAGACGGAGAGCGCCTTGAACAGCACTCCCGCACCCTTCTCCAATGTGAACACTATGCTCGTCTGGTGCACACAGACGGGAGGGGGGTGCAGGGGGGTGCAGGGGGATACAGGGGAGGTGAGGGCGAAGACGGAGAGCGCCTTGAACAGCACTCCCGCACCCTTCTCCAATGTGAACACTATGCTCGTCTGGTGCACACAGACGGGAGGGGGGTGCAGGGGGGTGCAGGGGGATACAGGGGAGGTGAGGGCGAAGACGGAGAGCGCCTTGAACAGCACTCCCGCACCCTTCTCCAATGTGAACACTATGCTCGTCTGGTGCACACAGACGGGAGGGGGGTGCAGGGGGGTGCAGGGGGATACAGGGGAGGTGAGGGCGAAGACGGAGAGCGCCTTGAACAGCACTCCCGCACCCTTCTCCAATGTGAACACTATGCTCGTCTGGTGCGCGTGGAGGGGGGGGGGGGGGGAGGGAGGGAGGGGGGTGCAGGGGTGCACGGGGGAGGTGCATGGCGTGCAGGGATGGAGGGTGGTTTAGGGGCGAAGGAGCAGCGATGCAGGTAGGCAGGCATGGTGACGTGGGAGCAGCAGGGAGGAACGACAGGGAGGGAGGAGCGGCAGGGAGCAGCGGGAAGGGCACCTTGAAGGGGCGGTCGGTGGAGGGCAGCACGGGGTCCCTGGCGAGGGCTAGGAAGCGCGTGAAGTTGTCCGCCTCGTCCTGTTGGGGGGGGGTCGACAGGGGGGAGGCGGGGATGCGAGGAGAAGGGAAGGAAAGTGAGGGATGATTGGAGAGAAGATGAAGGAAGGAGAAGAGGAGAAGGAAGTGAGAGTCAGGAGAATGGCATCTGCATGCACTCTACCACCGCCTCACCTGCCTGCAGCCCCTCCACCAGCCCACCTGAATGCCCTCCGCCCCCAGCCCACCTGAATGCCCTCCGCCAGGATCTCAAGCCCGTAGATCTCCGCCGCCCGCGTGCTCGCCACTGCTCCCACACCCTCCATCTTCTGATTCGCCACCATCTGCCACGTGGCAGCACATCATTGGGCAGAAAAAAGGCATGGCGGTGGAATGAGTTGAGCAGAGTGCAAGGGTTTAGCAGACCACAGATGCACACTCGCAAGAAACTTCCTTCCCGCCTCACTTTGTGAGACAACTCACATCCCACCTGCCCACCCCAGCAGCCCCTGTCACCTGAGCGGCCCCCAGCAGCCCCTGTCACCTGCGCTGCCAGCACGCACCTGGGCGGCCCCCGCAGTGTCGTACACGGCCTCCTGCACCACTCCCAGGCGTGCCAGCTGAGACGTCTCGAAAGACCTGCCCCCCCAGCAGCACAGCACCCACCTGAGCTGCCCCCGCAGTGTCGTACATGGCCATCCCACCTTCCCATCCCCCCGGCACCCACCTGGGCGGCCCCCGCAGTGTCGTACACGGCCTCCTGCACCACTCCCAGGCGCGTCAACGTCGCCTCGCACTGCGCCAACGCCTGGCACCGGGGGGAGGATAGGGGAGGAAGGGGAGGGAAGGGCAGGGAAGGGGGGAAGGGGAAGGTTGGCGTGGGGGCAGTGCGAGAGAGGACGAGGGGGAGAAGGAGAGAGGGAGGTGGAGAGAGAGAGGGAGGTGGAGCGAGTGAGGGAGGCGGGAAGGAAGAGAGGAAGTGGGGGAGAGGTGAACCCGATGGGAGGCCCTGTGTAGAGCACGTGCTACAGCAACAACAACCCTGCTCCCCCTGCCACCGCGCCCTCTCCTGCCCACATGGCAATCCCTCCGTCCCCACTTCTCCCTCCTCCGCCCTCCCCCCTGCACCCACCTGGGGATGCGAGAGCACACGGGTGAGCTGGCCGGGCGTGGAGCCGGGCAGGGCGAGCAGGCAGTGGTGCACGGGGAGGTGCACCTCGCCCACGATGTGCAGGCGGTGCCTCTGCACCCTAAGGGAGGCCCGTGTAAAGAGCACGCGCTACACTCACCTGGGGATGCGAGAGCACACGGGTCAGCTGTCCGGGGGTAGACCCCGGCAGCGCGAGCAGGCAGTGGTGCACGGGGAGGTGCACCTCGCCCACGATGTGCAGGCGGTGCCGCAGCAGCAGGTCGTAGTTGCGGTGGATGGAGCCCCCCAGGCTGTTCTCTATCGGCAGCACTGCTCGCCCCACCAGCCACTGCTCCACTGCCTGGGGAACGCATGGGCGGGGGGGAGGGGTGCGGGGGAAGGGGGAATGGGGGAGGGGAAGGGAAGAAGTGGGACAGTGAAGGGGGTGTGGGTGACAAGGGAAAGGATGGAGGGACGCGAGGCGAGGGGGAAAGCAGATACTGCATGGGAACGGTCAAGATCTCCCTGGCTAGGGTGTGTGCGCGCATGCGGGGCACGCGGGGGCTGGGGGGGGCGCGCGGGGGCCGCGGGGGGGCGCGCGCGGGGGGCTTACATTGAAGGCGTCGTCGAACTGGTCGCACGGCACGGGGGAGCATCCGGGGTACACGCGCATCGCCGCCATCTCGCTGTACGCGCCCGGCACGCCCTGGGGAGAGGTGGGGGGGGGGGGGGGGGGGAGGGGAGGGAGAGGTGAGGATCTGAAGGAGGTCGCAGAGGGAGGGCGGGGGGGGAGGAAGGGGCACGAGCACGCTCAGTGCGTGAAGAGGGCGCGCGGAGGTGGTGGACGCAGGGAGGGGATGCGCGGAGTTGACCGGCCGCGGGTGGGGAGGGGCGTGCGGCGGTCGCGGAGACGTGACTGCGCAGCCGCGCTGTCGCGCCGCGCTCACCTGGTACGCCACTCGCAGCGGGACACCTGTCCCGTTCCCATTCGCGCCGCCCTCGCTGTCCGACTGCGACTGTTGCACGGCGCGCGCCCGCGCGGGCGACGCGTGCCCGTGGCGCGACGCGACTGGCGGGCGCTCGGCGCTGAAAGAGCGACGGGGGGAGCCACTGGGGGAGTCGACTGTTGGCGCAAGGGGAAGGCGTGGAGGGGAGGTGCGGGTTAAAGGGGGAATGCGGGGCGCTGGCGGATGCGGATGCGCATGAGGGCGCGGGGGAGCGGATGGGGGGAGCGGATGGGGGGAGCGGATGGGGGAGCGGATGGGGGGAGCGGATGGGGGAAGCGGATGGGGGGAGCGGAGGGCAAGGTGGCTTGCAACCAGATGCTTCGACTTAAAGCGGATTTAAACTTCAGTTTGAACTCTCACTGCCGTCCACTCAACCGCCGCTTCGCGCGTACCTATGCCGAGCGGCTGGCCAATGAGCGACGAGCCGCTGCTTAGACTGACGCGATCTGGTGTTGCCATCGAGGAGGGTGACGACGAGTTCCTATAGGAGCGCGGCGCGAGCTGATCTAACGGCGAGGAGCGGAGGAATCGGCGCATGGGCAGCGATACGATCGAGGTCATGGCACCCTGCGATGCTTTCCTAACGACGAGCCAATGGCTTTACGCGCTGATCGTTACGACGTGTTTAGGAGTTGTGCGCACGTGGCGGGCACGGCACGCAGCTAGGCGACAACCCAGAGAAGGGAATGGCGGATTTATGGGCAGGGGTGGGTGGGAGTCGTGTACAGTATTGTGCGACTTGAGGGGATTACTCGAGTTTATCAACGCTTCATATCCCACCCGAACGATCTAGAATGCAATCGAACCATACTGTCGCGCAAAGCATCTCACTAAACCGCATTCAAGTGAATGCTCGCGCCCTTCAAAAGTATCCCAACAACAACGCTGGACGAGAATAGGGTTACCGTCGCTCATTTCGCAGGAAATTGCGGAACCCAAACCCCGACCCCCTGATAAATCCCTTCAAAGACCTGATAAGACCCCACCCACGCATTCCTCTCCTTTCCTTCGCTTTCGCTTCGCGTCAGTCCCCCTTGCACCACCACTCTCGCTTTCATCTCCGCGCGTTCCTCGGGCCCCTTCCTTCCGCCGCGCTAATTCCAGCCGCGACCCGTTTGATTCCCGTCGGGTTACGGCCTCAAAGCGGCTCGAGCAGGCCAATCAGCAGCAAGCATGGTGAAACGAAGCAAGAGTGAGTTGATGTTGATCGTCCGAGAATCAGCGGCTTGAGGCTAGCGGCGTGATTGCGGTGCTTGTTGTATGTGGTCGTGCCGTGCCTCTTCACCTAGAAGCACCCCAGCCTCGTTCTAAGCAAGACACCCTCTCCTCATTCCCCCACGTTTCTCACGCGTCTCCCCTCGCGGCCTTCAGCCTGAATTACCGCACCCTACCCTTGTCGTTCCGCTGCCCTCCCTCTCTTCCCCCGCCCTCCGCTCGCGCAGAGAGCAAGAGCAAGCGCGTGACGCTGCGGCAGAAGTACAAGGTCATCCGCAAGGTCAAGGAGCACGCCAAGAAGAAGCTAAAGGAAGCCAAGAAGGCGCGCCGCGACGGCGTCGCGCCGCGGCGCCGCGTGGAGAAGGACCCGGGCATCCCCAACGACTGGCCGTTCCGCGAAGAGGAGCTCGCGGCGCTCGAGGCGCGGCGGCAGCGCGGGCTGGAGGAGCGCGAGGCGAAGAAGGCGGAGAAGAAGGAGCGGGTGCGCGGTGGGGGGGGCGGGGGATTGGGTGCGCGAGGGCGGAGAGAGAGCCAGGGGCGGAAGGACGGGAGTGGGGGCGCAGTGAAAGTGATTCAGCGCATTCGCTCTGCAAGAAATGCGTTTTCTCCCGGTTCTTCGCAGTTGATGTTTATCAAACCCCAAACATCTGCCACTCTCTCCAGCCCCCCAAACCTCCCTTCTCCCCAAATTCCTCTTCCCCCCATCAGGCGAGGCGGCGCCGCGCGGGGCTGCCGGAGGAGGGGCCGCTGCCGGGCGCGGAAGGCGCGGAGGATGAGGAAGACGCGGAGATGGGGGGCGAGGGGGAGGAGGACGGGGAGGAAACTGGGCGCGTGACGAGCGGGGCGGCGATGGCGGGGATGGTGAGGGGGGCGATGGAGAGGGGCGCGGAGTTTGAGAAGCGGAAGAGAGAGCGGGACGAGGCGGCGGAGGGGCAAGCGGGCAAGGGGAAAGGTGGGTGCGCGGGAGGCAATGGGAGGGGGGCAAGCTTCACTAAGCCCGAGTCCTGATTAGGCTGAACCGGTTAGGAGATCCCAAACCTTAAGCCCGAAACCCGACCGGCGCACTTCCGCTGCATTCGTGCTCCCTGCAACATCCGCCGTCCCTCCTCTTCCCCTCCTTTCCCTCCCCTCAACTCACCTTCTTCAACCCCCTTGTCCTTTTCCCCGCTTCCCCGTCTCCCCCCACAAACCCCCTCCCCTCCCCCTCTCCCCCCACGGGCGCGCGCAGCGGGCGGGCAGCGGACGTTTATGCGCGAGCTGCGCGCGGTGGTGGAGGCGGCGGACGTGGTGCTGCTCGTGCTCGACGCGCGCGACCCGCTGGGCGGCCGCTGCCGGCAGCTGGAGGACATGGTGGCGCGCAGCGGCGCGCACAAGCGCATCGTGCTTCTGCTCAACAAGATCGGTCAGTCGCGCCTCCATCTCTCCCTCTCTCCCTCTCTCCCTCCCCTCTGCCTTCACTCTCACCCTCACGCTGAGTATCCAACCCGCGCACCCGCACACACATCTGCCTCCCTCTCCTCACGCCTCGCCGCCGCGCCCCTCCCCCTCCCCCTCCCCTCTTTCCCATTCCCCCCCTCCCCAGACCTGGTGCCGCGCGACGTGGTGCAGCGCTGGCTGGCGTACTTCCGCCGCGAGCTGCCCGCGGTGGCCTTCAAGGCCTCCACGCAGGCGCAGCGCAGCCACCTCGCGCGCGCCTCCCGCCCCTCCCGCGCCGACCCCAACCGCGCCGCTGCGCCGCAGCCGCTGCTGCCACGGGGGGAGGGCGAGGAGGCGGGGGGCGAGGCGGGCGCGGAGGGCAGCGAGTGCTTTGGGGCGGACACGCTGATCCAGCTGCTCAAGAACTACTGCCGCAACAAGGATGTGAGGCACAGAGGGGCGTAGGGGCTCGTGGGCGCACGGCATGCATGGGCATGCATGGGCATGCATGGGCATGCATGGGGTTGGAGTGGAGGTTGGTCTGGTAGCGGAGCAAGTGACTGCAAGCCCGTCCCCTGCTGCTCGCCCCTCACCATTCCCCTCTTACCCTCTCCCTTGCCCCTCTGCCCCCTCCCCCCCCCCCGCCCACCTGTGCAGATCAAGACAGCCATTCGAGTGGGAGTGGTAGGCCTACCGAACGTGGGCAAGAGCAGTGTGATCAACTCACTCAAGCGCACGCCTGTGGCCCCTCTCCCTCCTCTCCCCCCTTCCCCCACAACCCTACTGCAGATCAAGACAGCCATTCGAGTGGGAGTGGTAGGCCTGCCCAACGTGGGCAAGAGCAGTGTGATCAACTCACTCAAGCGCGCGCGCGCTCTCCCCCTCCCTCCCCCCTCCCTCCCCCCTCCCTCCCCCCTCCCTCCCCCCTCCCTCCCCCCTCTCTCCCCCCCTCCACCGCAGATCAAGACGGCAATTCGGGTGGGAGTGGTGGGGCTGCCGAACGTGGGCAAGAGCAGTGTGATCAACTCGCTCAAGCGCGCGCGCGTGGCCAAGGCGGGCGCCACACCGGGTGTGACTCGCGCGCTGCAGGAGGTGCAGCTGGACCGCCTCGTGCGCCTCATTGACTCGCCGGGTGTCGTGCTGTCGGGGGGAGGGGGAGGCGGAGGGGGAGGGGGAGGGCAGGGGGGGAAGGATGACGAGGCGGCTGCTGCGCTGCGCAATGCCATTCGCCCCGAGGCGCTGCTCGACCCCTTTGCACCGGGTACCACCGCTTTCCACTGCGCCTTGGAAACCTTCCCCCCTCCCTGTCTCCCCCTTGCTCCGTCTCTGCAGCCCAATCTGTGTCGACCAGGCCTCTCTTTTTACCACCCTCCCTCCGTCTCCTGCCGCCCTGCTCAATGCACCACATCCCACTTTCTCTTCCTTGCTGCAAGCCCCACACCTTCTCATCCCGATCTCACCTCATGCCCTCCCCTGTTACCGTCCTACTTGTTAACCCCTCCCTCCTCCCCCCCCCCAATGGAGCGCATATTGCAGCTGTGCCTGCGGGCGCACCTAAACGCCTTTAAAGACGTCTCATAAATTGTTAACCCCTCCGTTCCCCCCCACCTCTTCCCTCCCCCCCTCCCCCTCCCCCCCCCAGTGGAGCGCATATTGCAGCTGTGCCCGCGGGCGCACTTAAACGCCGTCTACGGCCTCGACGAAACTGCCGCCCAGAAGGATGGGGCGGGCGGCCCTGTGGACAGCTTTCTTCGGCAGGTAGCGCAGAAGCGCGGGCGGCTGAAGAAGGGCGGCGTGCCGGACACGCTTGCTGCGGCGCGCATCGTGCTGCGCGAGTGGAATGAAGGTGCGTTGCGGGGGGAATAGGGGGGAAGAAGGGGGGGCAAGGGGGGAGGGGCAGGGGAAGCAGTGGAGCAGTGGGATGGGCGAAGTGTGGTGTGTTGCTGCCGTGCTGCTGCAGCGCCCTGCATCCATTCAACAGCCCAGCCAGCCCTCCCTCTGCACCAACCTCCTCCCCTCAAACGTTTTCACCCATCTCCACGTGTGCACATCCCTCTCTCCTGCTATTCCTCTTTCCCCTCTCAACCTCCCCCCCCCCCCCTCCCCCCTCCCCTCTTGCAGGGCGCATCCCGTACTACACGCTGCCACCGTCGCCGGCCTCGGAGGCGGTGGAGGGGGCGGAGGAGCACGAGGAGGGGGCGGCGCTGGTGGGCGCGTGGGGGGGCGAGTTCGGCGCCCAGGAGGTGCTGGCGACCGAGCAGCGCGCCTGGCAGGAGCACCAGGGGGGGGCGCTCGCCCCGCCTGCTGCTGGCCATGCAGTGCTGCCTGCAAGCGCCCCTGCCACCATGATGGTCACAGATGAGGTGCGTGGTGGTGATGGTACTGTTTTAGCTACTGTGTGTCTGCAACACAATGCCACCCACTCTCTCTCTCTCCAACTCCCCTTGTTTCTCCTGCACATCTCCCACCTTTCACTCCACTCCCCTATTCGCCATCCCACACCATCGCACCCCTTTTCCCACCGCCCGCTGCAGGCCGAAGAGGGAGAGGAAGAGGACGAGGAAGAAGGGGCGGCAGAGGCGGGCGGCATGCACGTGGACGATGTGGACGCAGTGGCAGCAGCGGAGAAGGCAGGTGTGATGCGGGGGAGGGAGTATCTGCGGCAGAATGAGGTGCTGTATGAAGCAGCTGGTATCCTCAACCCGCATCGGCGCCGCGCCGACAAGAAGCGCCGCAAGAAGCAGCAGCAGTTGGTGGGGGAGGAGGCAGGGGAGGAGGGCGGTGAGGGGAGCACACTAGGGAAGGGCAAGGGCGGGGCAGCGGGTGCAGGGGTGGGGGGTGAGGAGGCGGAGGGGAGTGAGGGGAGTGACTTCGACTTCACAGAGCAGTTTGAAGGCATGCAGCCGGAATGACGGCTCGGCTTCAGTTAT